CAAAAGACTACAAACAGCTGCACAGGAAGGACCATGACCCTCATGCTACCCAAAATTGTGCTTAGACACAACGGATCTTCACTCTTATTTACCACCCTGAGAAAAATCAGGTGTATATAGTATCTGTCATATTTTATTAATCACAGACTATTACTACACAGATGAAGACTGTGTAATCTGCACAGCAGCAGCTCTGGAAAATACTAGAATCAGAGAAGCTCTTGGTATTTCCATGTTCTGAGAAGCTCTTGGTATTTCCATATTCCTTAGGCCATTGTTTTACTCCTAAGGTTGCCTTGTTGGTGTAAATAATTGTATTTCCGTTGTTATTAGGTGCTGTTGAGTCTACTACAACTTGTAGCAACGTTATGAACAACAGACCTGAACCATGTCCTATCCTGTGACAACCTCACAATCTCTGATACACTTAGGCCTTTTGCTACAGTCACTGTTTAGTCTACCTGCTTGAAGGTCTTCCTCTCCTCCACCATTCCTCTACCTTTCCAGGCATGATGTCCTTTTCCAAGGAATAACCTCTCCCAGAAACATATTCAAAGTATTGTGAAATGAAGCTTTGCCATTTTTGCTTCCAAGAAGCAATCTGGCTTCACCTTCTCTAAGACATATCTGTTCTTTTGGCAGCCCATGGGATATATCCAGTACTCTTCTCATAGTTCAATGTGTTTTATTTACTTATTGCTATATAACAATCTGCCTTAACCTTAGGCACTAAAAGCAATGGTTTGATTTTTTCCTGGGTTTTTTGATTGAGCAAGTTGCTTCTTTGCTGTTTTCACCAGTGTCACTTATAAGACTATGTTTAGCAGGCAGGTTGACTAGCATCCAGGCTCAGCTGGGGCAGCTGGTTCTTTTCATCAGTGGCTTCTTCACAGTATGGCCATCTCTAGACCATCTGCTTTCCTGGAGAGGGAAAGCAGAAGCCGCATGACTCTTGAGTGAGGCCTGCTGAGAAGTTAGGGAGCACCACTTCTGTGGCATTCCACTGCTGAAACATCACAAAGCCAATGCTGATTCAAGAGGAAGGCAAACAGACTCCACCTTTTGATAGGAGGACTGGCAAGCTTACACCACAAAGGAACACAAGAGAGAATTGAGATGATCATTGAAATTGATTCACATAGATGGTTTGAAAGTTGTACTATAACACGGGGAAGCTCTGGTACAGGCTGCAGGGAGTGGCACTGTTAACCCAAAGGGGGTTTGATTCCTTCAGCAGCTCTATGGGAGAAAGATTTGCAACCTTTTTTTTCTTCCATGTAATTTACAGCCTCCTAAAAAACTATTGGAAAATCAGCATTGAGTGGATTCTGACTTGATGTCATTGAGATTTGACCCTAACACAGGTGATATGGAGAGTAAAACTTCTACTTAAGGTGAAGAGTTCCTGCAAAATGGCTTTCTAATTGAAAGGGTGGAGGTTCAGCTTGACCAGAGGCACACCAGAAGCAAGCCCTGAAGATCTCCTTATTAAAATAACAAAAAATCAGTTACTGAAGAACATGGCAAATCAAGTGCTACAGACCATAGGCCTGGCCTGAAAGTCTGATGCAGGGGGCGCTGCCACATGTCAGGCACTACCCCACAACTGATTTCTTAGCTTTATACAAGGTGATGTCTACCTTGTTAAAAGTTAGTGTTTAAGCATTCCCAGCAAAAGATGCTGGATATTTGACTTGTTAAAAGTTTAAGAATTAGGCTTTACAGAGGTGTCTGGAATCAGGAACCTTATACTTTATTTCTTTGGCGTTTTCAGGTAGACCTCATGCTTATACACACACACACACACACACGCACACATATATTTTATATATATATATGACATAATTTTGTTGTATGTATTCATATGCCAAAACTTGAACTAGGTTCTAAAAGAAGGCTAATGGAAAGATCATTTAGAATTGCATTTAAGGTATAACCATTGGTAGTAAACTCCTTTTAAAACCATTTTAGTGTGTTTTTTTTTTTTAAAAATCTATTTTAGTTTTGTTGTTGAAACACAACAGAACACACACGAATTCAACAATTTCTATATGAACAACTTGGTAAAATTCAGTACAGTCTTCCTACTGTGCACACATTCTCGCTCTACCTTTTCTAACTTGCTTTTTCCTCACTAACATAGACTCATTATTCCTAACATTCCTGTCTAAGTTTTCAAGTTGCTCTTTTAAGTTTGGTACTATGTAAATAGTGCTGTTCTACCTTTTCTAACTTGCTTTTTCCTCACTAACATAAACTCATTATTCCTAACATTCCTGTCTAAGTTTTCAAGTTGCTCTTTTAAGTTTGGTACTGTGTAAATAGTGCTGTTGTTAGGGACCTTTCCAAAGTACTGAAGAGCAATAATGTCTCTCTGGAGACTAAGGTGCGCCTGATACAGGCCATGGTCTTTGCTATCACTTGTTATGCATCAGAGAGTTGGACAATGACTAAGGAGGACAGAAGGAGAGTTGATGCCTTTGAGCTGTGGTGCTGGAGAAGAGTATTGAGGGTACCATGGACTATTAGGAAAACAAACAGATTCATCCTGGAAAGGGTCAAACCGGGCTTCTCCTTGGAGGCAAGGATTCTGAGGCTCCATCTAACATACTTTGGACATGTGATAAGGAGAGACCGGTCCTTGGAGAAGGACATCATGCTTGGTAGGGTGGAGGGACAGCGCAGGAGGGGAAGGCCCTCTATGAGGTGAATTCATTCAGTGAGTGGAGTAATCGGGATGGGAGTGTCAGAGACAGTACGATTGGCACAAGACAGAGAAGAGTTTAGGGCTGTTGTACATAGGGTTGCTATGAGTCGCAAGTCACAAGTGACTGGACAGCATATGACAACAACAACTATGTAAATACTAAATAGGTTTCAATATATTTAATTTTTAAAAATTATTTCCTTTTTTTCATTTGAGTAAAAGTTTACAGGTAATATTGGATTTCTTTCAAGCATTAATAGACATTTTGTTTTATAATATTAATTACAATTGTTTCATGTAATTAAGTATAATCAAACCCTTATTGTACATTTTCTCGCCCTTTACCCATTTTATCTACTTACTAATTTTCCCTTACTTTTCCTTTTATTTTTATTCTCGTTAACCCTTCATGACTGATCCTTTGTATAAGCAATTCCTTAAAAGGACACTTTGTTCAGGGCTGACATTCTTTACCAATTAAGCATATCAGTGTGAGGACTAAGGCATTCCTCATTCAGGCCATGGTCTTTTCAATCTCTTGCTATGCATCTGAAAGCGGAACAATGAATAAAGATGACAAAAGAAGGATAGTGCCTTTAAGCTATGATGTTGGAGAAGAATATTGACTATCCCATGCACTGCTGAGAGAACAAGCATATATGTTTTGTTGCAGCCAGAGTGCTCCTTGGAGGTAAAAGTGATAAAGTTTCAACATACCTTGGGCATGTTGCTAAGAGAGGCTATTCCTTGAAGAGGGGCATCATTCTTGGAAAGGTGGGGTCAGCAAAGAGAGGAAAACCTTAAACAAGATGGATTGACACCACAACTGCAGTAATAGGTCCAAGTATATCAGAGATAGCTGACTCTGCAGCAAGTTTTCAGAGTCAACCACACTGGAGGAGATTGCCCATCCTTCTCCCATGGGGCAGCCGGTAGATTCGAACCACGTGCCTTTGAGATTGCAGCACAGGATAGGACAACATAATTTAATCCACAAAAAAGAACATTGTGGCAAAAAGATGCATTGAGAAATCAATGATAATTGGAGGAGATGTAGGCAAGGAGAGAGCATCTAAATTCTAGGAAATACGGTAGTGTGTTTAATACTGGTGACAGTGATTCAGTATAGAGTGAAAATGGATGCTGGGTTAGAGTAATGGGTAATTACTGAGATGATGTCTGTGAGTAGTTGAGAAAGTTGTATTTTCCTTTAGACCAGAGTTCTTCATACTTTCCTAACTATGTTAGACAGAAATTCCTGTCATTAAAGTTTTTGAACATGTCCCTAATATATGCGTGTATTTTAAAATCTTATTTATATTATATGGTAATGCTGTTATGGCAACATATTACAAGCATTTAAAATATACACAAAAAAGAAGCAAATAGTGTGAAGAAAAATATGTTAATAGTGGACCTTCTTTTTCTTCTTTACACCCCGAATCTCATGAATAATCTTGTTTACATATCCCTGGAAGAGCACGTCTGTGTTCTTGGGGTCCTTACCTTTAGACAATGGCAATGATTTATCAAAAGCTTTAAGAAGGGAGAAAGTTTGGTCTTTCAGACTAGTGAATTCAAGCTTTTCCCCTTTCTTGATTTCTAGCCTTGGAAAGCATTTTATCTTAATCAACCTTATAAACGTTAAATGCGACCAGTATGTGATGAGGTGGTTAAAATTCAAATTTAAAAGCAGACTCTTCAAATGTTCCTAGAGGTTGCTCTTGCCCCAAGTAACATCACACGATGCAAAAGAATAGTTAGGAAGAACAACCAGATTACAATCTTTATTGTCATATGCTCAATTTTAAACTATCATTTATTCCGTAGCTTTCTCCAAATCTCAAGACTAAAGAAGAAAAATACACATCTCATCACAAATATACAGCAAAAATCTTTCATCTCACGACAGCAAGAGTAAGAAATACATTTTAATTCTTCTGTTGTTTATGTATAAAAATTGGCCATAGCTAAAACACAAACTAAAGAGGTGTCTGCAGTTTGCAAAGACTTTAAGTGACAGGCACTGGAATTTTTCCCAGATCTTTGTACTCTGGAAAACATTTCTGGCTAATTATAAGGCTGAAATTGTTGGCACAAAGACATTGTTCTGTGAATAGCTAATGAAACAATGGTGTCTAGTTGAACCCAACCTATCAAAGACTTTCAGATGGTTTACAGTTCCAAGTGTAAACTCAGTTGTCAATACCTCCAGGTGAGTCTGAGAAAACCACGAAGTACAGTCACCATGTTCACCATGTGCATGCGGCTTTCTCACAGGTGCAGATTTCTCTCAGATCAACCTTTCCATTGTGGACGGTGGCATCATGCTCCACATCTCTACTCGAGAGCCCTCCTTCTCCTGACGGCTCGGGCTGTAGGTTCCCTGAGTTGCCCTCTTCTTGGAGGCTACAACAGAAGCCACAACTGCCAGAAAGAGGGTCAATAACAAGGCCAATGTCACCAAGCCAATTGTGGTGAAGATGTCCGAGATCAAGTCATCTGACACCTGGAAAGATTGAAATGATTAGGATGTAAATTAATAGAGCAAGATAAAAGTTCTAGACCATGGAATTACCCAGGAATGAAACCCAACCAGAGCAAATAGGTGCCTCTCCATATTGTTATAAGACCAATGTACTGAAGGCAAGGTAGATTTCCTTATGTCTTGGTCAAGTGAAAAGGACTATGTATCTATACCTAAGATCTACCGTCAGATAGTATGATGTCTCTTGTGTTGACTTAGTGTCTTAAGCTCAATGAAGAAAGATCATTCAGTCAACATCAGGTGCAGTCAACCCACATGCATATTTGCAAGATTTTTTTCCATCCATTGGAATGTAGTATTCAGACTTTCTTCCCTGTCTTGGCAAAAGTTTTTATTTTGGACTGAAGGAGCAGTTGTTTTACGGTCTTTTGTTGGGAAAGGAAGCAAATTAAATTAGTGGAGCATCGTGGGAAAGATCTGGAGACAGAGGCCAGTCTGGGGTGTGCTGGATTTGTAGACAGTTTCCAGAAATGTCACTTTGATTTAGATTCAGAATGACAAGTGAATACTGAACCCAAACACCTAGAAAAAGAAAACTGGAGGTAGAATGCTGTCAGGAGTTGCTGAATTCTGGGCTCTGGGAGGTGTTACTTGAACATAATAGTTTGTTGAATGTTAATTCCATTGAGTTTGCCAAGAATTTATTAGTAAATTGGAACTCAGTTTACAGTTGGTAGCGTGAAACTGATTTGGTTGCATAGAAGTACTAAAGGCAGGAAGCAGTTGCTATTTGAATTACCAGTTTTCTATGTCAGAATAAAAAAAAAAGAATTAGAATTTGGAGGAAGAATAAGTAATTCAGCATGTCCAGAGGTAATGTCCATAAATGTATATTTAAGTTTTAATGTTAGAATTACTGACATTAGGACAAAAGCATTTTACCTTTTCATTTAACTTTCTTTATGACCCACCCCCTCAATCCATTGTTACCAAATCAGTTTGTTACTTCAAATGCAATTTTTGCTTAACATCCTGGGGAATTTTATATAGCCTTACTATCCTTAGTTTCTATTTCTCTACCACTGTGTCTTGGTTTAAATCACTATACTCTTAACTCAATACCGGATTTCCCCCCTAATATTGTCCTGGGTCTACTCACTATAGACTTAAGAGTGTTTCATTAGTTTGTTCATTCAGTAGTAGTTATGGACCATTTTCTATGACCTTGGTTATGGGGAAGAGAAATGCAAAGGTAACCTAAACTTTGAATTTGGGGCTGAGATTCTGTGAATGGAAGAAGAGAAAGAGGCATATGTATATTCAAATAATCACAAGGCATTATAAAGACAGGTTAGAGGATTACTACACCTGTGAGTTGTAAGTAGAGTAAAATTAAAATAAGGTATGTTATTGTTCTTTTTGGGCTAAGTAGATGCATAAACATTTTCTGCAGAAAGTTTTATTGGGATGAAGTAATTTGAAAGAAAAAGGAAGGGAATAAAAAAAAGAATTAGAATTTGGAGGAAGAGTACATAATTAAGCATGTCCAGAGGTAATGTCCATAAATGTGTATGTCTGAGTTGGAAAGAATTGAAAGGGTTTGTCAGAGTTAAAACTACAAAGTCAATTAATCTTGTTAAGCAGCTTGAGTGTCATGCTATGAATTTGGACATTATTGTGTAGTCAGTGGGGAGGCAATGAACATTTTTAGGCAAGAGCAAGATGCAATAAGATTTGTGTTTCATTGATTTAACTCTGGCAATGAGGTGGAGAATGGGGAGGGGGTGGAGAAGCCAGAGGTAAGAAGAAAGGAAGTTTATTAGTAATGACTTACATATTAATTTAGCAATAAAGTGAGAATAAAAGAAAAAAATACATTTGTGAGTTAATACCACTACCTGTCTGATTATGCAAGGATAAGGAAGGTGATGTCCAGGACAGAAAAAAGCAAAAGCTAGTTTTTTCTGTATGTGAAAGTTGGACAATGAATAAGAAAAACAACAAGAATGGACATGTTTGAATTATAGTGGTGGTGAAGAATATTGAGTATACCACGAGCTACTAAAAAATCTTTTTTTTATGAAGTGCATTCAGAGTGGTGTTGAGAAGCAAACATAGTGAGACTCTATCTCACATACTTCAGGGATATGACTAGGAACAGACCCTAGAAAAGGTCAATATACCATTTCTTCCTTTTTTTGCTGTCCCTCTTCTTTACTCTCACCATGATAGATTGACACAGTGGCTGCAACACTGACTTAAAGGAAAGTAGATAGCAATTGTAAGGATGCGGATGACCAGACAGCATTTTGTTCTGTTGTCTGCAGGATTAGAACCGACTTGACATTACCTAACAATAGCTTCCACCTTGAATGACTGACTGTATGAACTGCAATGTTGTCATTTGAATTAAGTAAAAAGACAGGTTCAGTTTGGGAAAGAGAATTCTGGTTTCTGAAGAACATTCATCAACCCTGCTAACACAAGTCTGTTGTTAAGTGCTGTTGAGTTTGAAGTGTCTCATGGCTGATCCTCCAGTGTGCTTTCAGAGCCTGTGAGTCACCTAGGAGGAGACAGCCACACTTCGTCGTATGGGGAAGCTGGTGGGTCCCCACCAGCCTCTGAATTGACAGTGCAACTCCTTAGCCACTAGACTACCAGCACTCCTTCAAGGGGCACTGGGCTGCTAATGGAAAGATCAGCCCTTGACACACATCAGTCACTCCTTCAGATAAAGAGGTAATAATTTATTTTTATAATGATTACAACCTTGGAAACTATGGGGAAGTTTTACTCTGTGCTATAGAACGGGTATGAATCCGAGTGACTGAACGATGGCGTGTGACAGGGACAGAGCATTCAGATCTGCAGTGCTATGACTACTCCTCCTCATTGCTGATGTTTCATGTTCTAATCATAGCTGCCCATGCACTGGGTTTCCAAGGCTATAAATCACACAGGAGGAGATTGTTTATTTCTCTCCAGAGGAGCCTCTTGTGGATTTGAACCTTCAGAGAAGAGAGGGCTTTGATTAAAGAGCATAATTCCCCATGGACCAGAGTTCCTCATTAGATAGCTTAAGACACTCACTCTCCTTTTCCACTTTACATTACTGTGATCATTCTGGGGCTTGACAAAGTTTCATCCTCCAATAACTAGAGCTTTATGATTAAAGCATATAGAATGTCATAAAATTCAGTGGATTTGAATAAAACAGATTATTTCAACTAGATGCTAAAATCTCCACTTATCTGTGTGGCTATCCTTTTATGAGCAATTGCTTTTTAAAAAAAAAAAATAGGCTGGGAAAGAACAGAACCATAGACTGGGTCTTGAATAGTCAAAAGTACTAAACAGAGATGATTAGTTGGAATCTGACTTACAAGTCCCCTTGGTATATCCTCTGAGGCCTTTTAAGTAATGGTATTATTTAGGTAATTAGGTATTTTTCCTAGATGTTAACTTGGTTTTAATTTGTCAAATAAATGTGTTGTCTATGGGAGTAAATGGCTGTTTTCCTGGAGGAGTGGGTTTGAAGTGCTACACTCATGCATGTTGTTGTTGTTGTTGTTGTTGTT